CTCGTTTCGTACAAGTCTGCTCTCACTCACACATAAAACTGGACGACGTCATGTAATCAACTAGAGAAGATGTGATAAGACGCAGACACGTGCTGCTTCGGTGTGCGGACTCGAGTCTGAATCACGAATGAAGCAAGAATGCGTCTTTTGTCTCATGTCTTTATGCTTGTCTTGACGCAGTTTGTGTGCGGCCGCCCTTAGGAAAACAAGCCGGCACAATACCCACGGACTTGTCTATCGCTAAGCTTTTACGTGCTTCCCTGCGTCACAAGTACCAATTTTTAATACGTGACTAATGTAAATGTTCTCCTCCAAACTAAGACGAAGTGCATAATTATAGAATTGCGCTGCTGCTCAATGTTTTCACTTAATGACAATGTTCCTTCTTGCCATGACAACAAACGTCACAGAATTGATTTCTAACCACATTCGAAGTCGCAGGAGACTTTTCTCTCTCCAACTGCAGCTTCTGACATCTGATTCTTTATGACAGACGCTTGGTTTACAGATGACGACCTTGTCGACAGTGGCTTTCAACGTACCGAGTTTAATAAATGTTTCAGAATACTGCCACATTAATCCATCGGTCCCTCCATTTTAAGTAAAACTATAAATTTTGCTGTTGTGGGCATTTAACTCCGTAATTCCGAGCAAAAAATTTTTGCGTTTGTCTACCTGTCGAATTATTATTCCGGAACCAATTGATCTATTTTCATCAAACTCAATGTAAAAATTACAACATTGGGAACTTATGTTCTTGATTAGATTTCAGGTACGAAGGAGTTTCTATGTTTGTAGTAATATTAAGATGGTCCTTACAAGGCAGAGACTTGAGAGTTGGTCCAGTTTTAACACTGAAATTCCTGTTGTAGCGCCGTGTAGTCTGATACACGATTACCACCTTTTCAGAAGTACCAGTTCTCTCCAGATTACGCGGCGCTAGAACCCGGAACATTGGCGTGAAAACTTTAAATGCAACTTAGTTCTAAAACTACCCTTCAATCTGAAACTCCGACTACTGTTTCCACTCTGCAGTTGTATACGCGTGGGTGAAATTACACGTGTCGTAGCGCTCGGCTTGTGCAACAGGTTCACACCACGTGTGAACGAAGAGAAAAACATGACCCGGCTTCCTTCTCTCTCCCTCCCTCGCTCTGTGGTGCAGGATATTCATTGGAGAAAGTCGGTTTTATACTCGGCTTGTGGAATAATTGCCCAACTGATGATTCCCAATAATTTTAATGGCATAAGGAGTCAACCTGGCCAGAAGAATGTTGGGTAATTATTGCAGTCAGTCCTATAACTCATTTTACATGTTGGCGCAATAATAGATTCCTTCCGCTTCTGCGCATTGGCTCCTTATTCCATACAGCGCAGACTAGTGATTTTGCTAGAGAAGGGCAGTAGATGCTATGGGTGTGATGTGGGAGAGAGACAGACAACCCGACAGTGACTCGGACGGCGCAACAGGTGGGCTGCCCAATTAAAATCAATAACGTATGATCTGAAGCTTTCGCTGCGAACGAGCCAGTTACTTAAATGAAGAAAGCAACTCCACCTGACACGGCTGGTAACCCAAGAAGAATTCATTATTAAATCAATAATATTTTAATGCATTGCATTGGAACCTGTTATTATTATTCTTCTTCTTCTATTTCCGGTTTAACAATGTTTATACATTTTCCGGTACCCTTTTACAGTCCGTTGGCTTGATCTATAGACATTCGGTAGGACTCCTTGGACGAGGGATCGGCCCGTCGCAAGGCCTCTACCTGTACACAAAACAGCACAGCACAGCATCCATGGCTTGAGTGGGATTCGAACCCACGGTCCCAGCGACCAAGCGACACAAGGCCCACGCCTCAGACCGCGCGGCCACAGCGGACTCCGGAACCTGTTATTTAAATATGAAAAACGGGTCCTCAAGGAATTCACACATTCATTGAAACAGAAATATTTTCATTTTAATGCGGGAGTCTTAAAAGCTCCTAATACTGGTTTTACGAGTTGAAATCTGTAATTGTAAAGTGAAGTGTTTTCTTTGAGGTAAGGACTAAATTCTAAACAATTATTTAGACGAGCAATGCCGGAATGCTAACAAGAGTTCATTTCGCGCTTGCGACTGGTTAAGTCGATCAAGGTTTTCCGTGGTTTTCTTCGGTCCTCGAGCATGATAACCAAATTGTGGGTCTTGTTGGTATATTGCTGTGTTTATTTATTAGTTTGTTTGTTTTCCTTCTACCTCATACGACGAAAAACCTAATTGATGGAGACCAAACGTCCAGGCAACAGGTTTTATGTAAAACAGATTCGCTATCTTATAGCAAATTTCTTATATGATTTGAGGTTTTCACAGCGGCGAGTATGAAGTTTCTTATAGTTGCAAGAGATGTATCCTGCCGTGTGTTGATAGTTTGGTTGACAGTCCATCTGCACAGCAATTCTTATTATAGTTTCAATGTTTATTAAGAATCCATTACATGTTTCGATCTACACTGTTCATCTTCGAAACTAACAAATATGACTGAAAATGTCTCCACGTGTTTTCTGTTACTGACGTCACCACGTAATGCGCTGTCAACCTAAAATTTCTTATACTTGTCTTTATTTAGCAGTAATGGGTTATCTGACAGGTCTATACTAGTAAAAGATATAGATAGTCCTTTGTCCCGGTGAGATCTTCCCACGATATTTTTGTCATCAAGGGCATAGAACGCCATTACAGTTTTCGTTTATAACTCGCTTTTTATCATGTGTATGAACGATTTTGCGATACTTTGTGGTACGTGGGTGAGTTCTAGAAACTATCGCCTTATTCCTTTAGCTTGAACACATTTACGTGCTAAGGGGTGTTTTATTTAGGCCAGCTGGAGACGTTCAACATCCCCAGACTGTGTGCAAAACCCGACGCTCGATTTTTCGACAATCAAACAGAAATTAAAATACGTATTACAATTCTGCAGACAAGAACACAATCATAAATTCCGTTATTATATAAACTGATCACCGACAGTCTCAATCTGCATATTCATACGATTTATCCTTAGATTCGTTACATCTGTAACACATAGATGGCTATGATTCACAGAACTTGACGAGACACGTCCATCTCCGAGAAATACAGTCCTTAATACACGCTCAAATTGTCAATTACCAGCGTCCGCGAACACCCAAGTTTCACGGCCCCGTTCACGAGAGACCATTTTCTGAATCTGAACCACATCTATCCAGTCGCTTAAGAGACACATATTACATGCAATGTACAAATTGATTTTGAATGAGGTTTTACGTCTCCTAAAATATGTTACGTGCAAGAAATCTTTCTGTTCTGTATTCTGTCGACGTCAACTGTTCTTGTGATATGGTGAGAAAGTTCTGTCTGTGTTATTTTATTACTTCTTAATGCAAATGAAATTATCAGAAGACCTCGGAAAGAAATGTCACGTTCAAACACGAAGTAACAAAAATCACGCACACCTTAACTTCTGTCCATGGAACTCAAAGCGAAATTATAATTTAAAAATACCAAAATCGTGTAACGAGTCTGATATTCACATCGTCAAAGTAACTGTAGAAAAACGAGTGTGCCATTCACATCGTCAAAGTAACTGTAGAAAAATATTCAAACATTTTAAGTCCGAACACGAAATAGTTTTTAACTCCATGGAGATAAATTAAAATTCAGGCAAAAAATATTAATGGCATATCCTCTGATACTTCATTAAATTATTATATTTTCTGGTAATTTAGTGATATTTCACTATCCCAAGTTCTGTTGCCGTTTTATACCCGGTTAAACGTCTCGTAATACCTCCGATCAAATATTATTTTAAAGTTGCGCGTCTCTGTCTATATGCAGAACAATATCCATATCATTCATACGTCATTAAGTTTTTGAATTTTTGTAGAATTCTGTAACATTCATTGCTACTACTAATGGAGATTTAACAGCGGAACAATTATTACGTTTAGTTCAAAAATGCTTATCTGGGAATAATAATTATTTATTAAATACAGACAATTAAAAATATGGAAGTAGTTGCAATTTAATACATACACACCGGTCAATGAGACGACGAATCTGGGACAAAAAATATCTAACATTTTACACACTTGTGAACAAAAACGCATTCGAATTTAAAACGTCGCGGCACACTGGTTGAGAAACGCTACAACGGAGACACAAAGTGGCCAGCCAATGAAGCAGAATCAGTCTTCCAGTTAAGCCCAATTTGACTAGTGCCCCACACTTTAGTAACTACTGTTTCCGTTGCGCACTGCAATCAACCTGACTTCAGAACACAACAAAAACAAAAGTACACATAGCTCTTCCTGTTATGCCTAAATTAACCTCATTTTAATACACAGTCTGCATCAGTAAATGTCTGCATTGGTCTTGTGTTGATTTCAGTGCTGCTTCTCATGCTGAATTTTGTTTGCGTATGTTGATTTCAGTGTTGCTTCTCATGCTGAATTTTGTTTGCGTGCATTACTGGGTTACATGAAATCCAACTCCTAAATCAACTCTCACAGCAGGGGTTCAGATTTCCTCCACCCGAGTTGTTCCAGACAAAATGCGCCCATAAGTACAAAGCATTAAATAATTACAAACGTGTAGAGTGAATCGAACCCCAGACTCTGCTTTTGCTACACCACATCCGTTGTTCATTGAACACGATGGAAGGTGAATTTAATCCGTACTCTCAAGGTCGTCCGGAGTGGGAACGCTTTCAAACGGAATGTAGTGAAAGCTATGCTATCCAAACTACATTAGTCTGCAAAATCAAAATAAACTAAAAGTTTTCATGACTTCTGAACATTAACCTTATTTTAAAATTTACATCGCATCAAATATTAGGACGAATCGCGATAGCAGCCAGCGTCATGTTCAGACCAGCCCTTGGACCCATCCACACTCGTATGCAGTGAGTAAAGGAGCGTGAAACTTGCTACTAACGATCATATAGTGCAGGAACAAATTTACGTTTTACGTCACTCACCTGTTTTCTTCGTGTGATACTCCAAATGCATCCGTCGACAAATTACACAATTGTAATATCAGGATCATGTCACAAATAAAATGTGAAGACGTTAAAAATTCGTAGTAGCGCACACAATGCAAGACTTACTTCACGCACGGAAAAACATTTTAAATTACTTGCTTAAATAACACCTGAGGCACGTTTAACAAAGCATCTGAACTCTTCCAAAAATAAAATGATTAGATAAGAGAAACCACTCTTTAAACACACCACACGTGTAAATACGGACACGCTCACTGTCAGATGGGAAACAAACACTACGCACTAAATCAGTGCATTGAACCACTCACTTCCGTCAACAGAAGGTAACTGGCGGACTTCCGCATAGCTAGCTACTCGCAGCGCCCGGAACTTAGACTTCCGATTGGACGAAGTGGAAGAGTTAGCTGACGAAATATGCCGAGTGTGAACATTTTGGTAGTCACACAGGTATAACACGCAGACGTAGATGAAAACTGAAACCAGTATCGTAGAACTGCGGAGAATAACATTCCTACCAACACTGACATGAAAGGGCATTGTAAGAAACTAACCACTATGCCAGCAATTTTGAAATAAACTGTACGGTCTACATTGCTTCCAAGAAACGTAATTTCGTATCTTGCAGTTTATTTGTACAATGCATGTCCATATAAACAGAGATTACGGAGTATAATGTAGTATTACATTTGCTTCAGAACCCTTCTCATTTTATACTTCACTTTGATGGATGTTGATCACCCAATACCCATTCGAGAGTCGTTAGTTCTGTAGCCGGTCAAAGATGGCAGCTCGACACAATTTAACTTCGTACTAATTTTATTCCATCACTGGTGCATAATCACGTTTCACATTTATCCATTTGTGATTCTGTACTACTTACAAACTTAGCTGATATCGGCATTTGGTTTATTACAGTGAGTGAAAACCCACTGCACTGCAAAAGTAAAAGGTCTGTCTTATTGCAAGGTTTAGTTAAAATCTCAAGTGATTTAAAAGAACTTATAGTGCCCCAGTTTTGATATTTTCTGTCACGCACTGGACAAACACCAGAGAGCGGCTACCAAAGTAATTTATATACATACATGTATAAATGCATACCTGTTTCACTTGGAGACGTTGCTTCTGCGACAGGAGTGAGGTACTGTACCTCGCTACTATTCTGGTTTCCGCAGAGAACCTCTTTAGTTGACTGGAAGTTTTCATGTTTCTTTCCAAGTGTCCAAAGGTGACCCCTGGAACATCAACCCTTTTTTTAAGCAGCCTTTTCTGCACAGTGATCCTGACATACCTGAGCTACATTATGACCAAAGGTTGTGCTCCTATGTGCTGTAATACAGCTCAACCCTTCCTCTTAAATGGATACACACCACCAACGAAAAAGCAGCTATGTAAAGGACACTCCACTGTGTTAACAACAATAATTTGAGCGTTATTCTTCCTCTTTCTCTTAAACCTCTGTCCTCCAAAACCTATACAATTCTGTACGCATGCCAAGAGTTCAAACTTCATACAAGTTTTAAGCAATTCTTTTCCAATCCTCACTTCTTCATAATCATGATTGCACTCTTGTAATTGTCTTAGTTGCACAAATAGTGACAAGCAAAAGCATTTGATTTCTTCATAAGGTTAAAGCGAAGGGTTAACGTTAGTACACAGAAAATGAGTTCCCCTGTACAAGCGCAAGGACAGTATGTTGTGGAATGGAGCGAAATTCAGCAGGGAGACATTTTACCTCTGTTGACCCAACAGTTTGTTCCTTCAAGTTACATAAATGGTTTAGCATCTGGAGTTGAAGGACTGGGCTGCAGAGACGATCGGCCTCCTAGCTTGTTCCAGTGCCGCATTAAGTTGTTTCAAGAACGGTCAGAAACTTGGGGATCATTTGAACAGGAACATCCTTTAAATCAGATAAAGGCAGATGCAGCGTTTGTAAGCAAATTCAAAGAAGTTCTTTCTGTATCCATAATAGATGATAGGAAAATCTGAAATTCCCAGCCAGACCCTCAGGACAAGTTTGAACAGGATAGGTGCGAAGGAAAAGCAGAATGAAAGTTAATGAATAGTGAATGGTTCAGAGTAATAATCAATGAGTTACTGACCTGAGTTTGTCATTTGATGAAATCTCATATTTAATACAAATGTACAAATTAACACACACACACACACACACACAAGCAGGGACATATGTACCTACATTCTACATACAAGTTATATAACAATTATGTACACAATTTTTAAATGTGGAAATATGTTTTGTGGTCTTCTGGATTGTGACACTGTTTGCATCAACAGACCAGAATCCACCATTATTTATTTACTTATTTAGTGTTCTGTCTGAGGACAGGTCCATATGAACGGGATCCTTCCATCCTTTTCTCGGACTGGGACCTGTTCATATACGTTCTTGGCAGATGATCCAGAAGTGGTGTGCCATTGCCTTCTTCTGTGTGTGAATGGAGTAATTGTTGGGATGCCACAGAGATAATAAGTTGTCGCTACATACTTAAAGTAAAGGCAGTCTGTATAAGTGAACTGTACATTGTCTGTAATTACCATAACAAATTTAAGGAGGAATTTGAATTTGAAAGGAAGCTGATGTTTTAACAAGTCATCAGTTTCATCAGTGGAATATGTATTGCAGATGTTATTGTATTAGCAAAGCTTAAGAAGTGTGTATGTAGTTTAGAAGAATTCAGAATTATGGAGTATGTTGTGCAGTTTTTTGATGTATGGTACGTGAAGGGAGGAAATATTTGTATACTCTCTGTTGAATATATTTAGTGTTCTGCAAATAGTTGGCAGATTTCTGCTACATTATTAACGTGGGTCAGATGTGGCACTTATGGTCGACATGCTTGGATTATTACTCATATTCTATTTAACATTCCATTCATTGTTTACTCTTTGTCTTTCATCACTCTGTATATGTAAATGTGTTTTCAG